GGGTCACACATTTGGAAAACGACACTGCTCGAGATCCCGAAGCTTAGCTGGGGAATTCCACCAGTCTTCGTGTAGCCCTGACTTAGCTCTTTCCGATCGCCATCTAAACTAATCCCACAGCGGCCATCTTCTGGGTAAAAAATACGATTTTTGATAGTACCTCAAAAATGACCCAGCTGCCTTTCTGGGCAGAACCAAGAGGCTTCTGGAAGCAGGGCAACCACACATTGCGTAGTGATTGGCAACAAGTTGCCAATGAAGGTGACATATATATAGCTGATCAAAATTGCTTCCCACTGGAATAAACTTAATTCGAAAAAAGTTTGAAAGTGTCCACGAACTTTTGGGACAACCTAATATCTTACTAATAACATGTGGCTGGCTAGGAAGTATGAGCGCTTCCACCCGGCCCCGCTAACCCACCCCTACTTTTTTATATAACAATATATTTTAACTTTTAATCATTGTTTAGAGCCTCCATATGATATGCTGTTTCCTTGATTGTTTGTTTTTTATGCGAACGTGTATCACTTTGGAAGTGATTGCGGAAACTGTGATCGCACAGCCTGCACAGTTTGTGGAGTAGAGTTTCCCTCTTCGCTACTGTTCACTCAACAAGAAGTGAATTGTCAGGAATGCCGACTGGCCTTGCTATCTATAACAAAGAATCTGGGAATCCTTCGCGGAAGTATCCACACTGTCGGAAAAAGGCTGCCTAGGGCTTTGCGTTTACGGAATGTACAAAAACAGGACACTTAGAAAAGGGACCTTATTGTTGGAAAAAAGCGATGAGATACAGCGGAGTGGAATGTACAGGCATATGTAGGGAATGCTGCAGTCAAATAAAATATTTTGACGAGTTAACGTAGGCACAATGGTTAAGCGATCTTCAGCTGAGTTCCGACTGAGGAGAATCCTTGAGACAGAAAAGTTGCCACAGCAAAATTCTTTCATAGAGGTTTCATCACATAACAGATTTTCCCTTGAGGTCAACCCTCTCCCCAATTATTCAGCTGGAAGCAAAGTCACCCACGGATTTTTCCTCTAACATTACTGGGATCCCGCTCGTGAGGGGATCCAGCCGCTCAAGTATAGTCATGATCCCTGATAACAAAAGGCAGTGGATAACAGAATGAAGACTACGTTCTTCATTTCGTTTTATTCTAGTGGTGTCATGAGACTACTGTAACGTTTATCCTGTTATATTTAGGCCCTAAGTAAATTGATTCGCGCGTGTGGGCTAACTCAATTTGTCATCAACTCCTAGACGAATCAAAAGTCTGTGGATCAAAGAAAATCGACAAGCAATTCCTAAGATAGAAGCTGGGAACATCGCCAACGGTAGGCGGAGTTTGCTTGACAAGGGTGGAACGCGAAAGTTCAAGCTTCGTTTCCGTGATGGTTCAAAAATCAACACTGTAGCTAAGAGGCTCTGGTGCTGAACGGGCGCCCCAACTATCTTACATTCATGCAGAATAGTGCGGTGAAGAATTGAACTGAATCACAAATTGGAGACATATTCTACGTTACTCGCATGGGCGGAGCCTGCCTTTCCCATTGGCACCTCTGTCCGGCCAGGCAGGGGTGATGCAAAAGTCAAAAGTGAGCAAGACACAATGACAGGTCCGGCTCTGCGCACTCGACCGACAATATTTCCGAGTATTTTTCGGTTCACTTGCTTTGCGTAATGTGAAAAAACGCTCGAGTCGGAAATGGTAACGGTAGAGGACTCACTGATAGACGACAGCGTTCACTGGCCATGTGCTGTCGAACTGTTGGTCGACGCTATTGTAGAGCAATACGTCCGGCTTCCATATGTTGGATATCGGTAGACGAACCTCTCGAATATTACCGTATTCCGAGGGATCCCACGTCAAGTAGTGATCGACCCAACTCTGCAAATCTTTCAATCAAATCGCACGTAGTGTTCAGCTGAGATTCGATAGAGATTCAGTAAAATAGTTCTGTGTGGTCTTTCTGAGTAAAACGAGGGTAACCACTGCAGAAGGAATTGTTCGGAGATACTGTTTGGTACTCTCCAGCTTCTCTCCTGCTGTGACCTCAACATCGTTGTTTATTTTGTTTATTATAATGTATCTCTCGAGATTTTCGAAAAGCTTTGTCCAACTACATAGCTTTCCGACGTGATCGTTTTCTTCAGGGACCAGGGTTTCACCACAAACCACTTGCTACCAACGAGCATTCGCATGCGGCAGGATTTACGGTGAAACCCTGAAGGAGAGGACCACGTGGAAACGATAGGCTGTTGTATAAGTTTTCCAACAAAACACCTCAAGAATCAGCGGGACTCCACAACACATTGCACATACAAGGAAATGACACTGAAATTTTGGCTGGTTGGCCAAGGGAATACTATGTCAGAGCGTGAAACGTTTATTTGCACGTCCGGCATGAAAATAATTAACAGCATAAGTTATCACAAGAATGCTGAGTTATGGGCAAAAGTCGTGCCCCAGGCGGGAGTCGAACCCGCACCTCACGCTTTCCGGGCGAGTGCGCTATCCGTTACGCCACCAGGGCCTATTTTACCCTCTCAGCTTAACGGCTTATGCCGTAACCTTACAGCACTCACACGTTTAACTTGGTGAGCCGGTCAGCCGTAATCGTTAGATATCGGCATGGAACCGCGAGGCCGAAGGCCGAATACATACATTTCTGAGCTTGGCGTCGCGTCTCCGAGGATGCCTCAGGTATGTCTCAGGTCTAATTGCGATACCCACGATACTGCCGTGACATGCCTGCGGTACCGTCTCGAGAGTGCTTATCTAGCGTACGCCTAAGGTCTTTGGGCTGAGCTGACTCATTATAGTTCAACCCTAAAAGTAGTTCTATTATCGATATGAGGAAAGGCTTTGAACCCACAACAACGATCCCAGGTAGAACTGCAATGCATGGCGTATCCTAAGAGAGAAGCTGACTAATGCTCTGAGCCTAATTTTAGCTACTGCGTCTACTTTTTGTCAGTTCGTCTACTCCTTGGTTTTGCAAAACAGCGTTCGTCGAAAAGCAGCTGTCCAATCAAGACCTCATATGTCAATGTCTTTTGCCTTATCGCCACGGCCTTCGTCCCACGGGACCTTTTCGCTGTATGTATATGTCGGGGGTGTCAATAAGTAAGCACAGATGGGAACAACTAGAAATCGGGAAAAAATTTGGGCGACCCTTTGAAGTATGTTGCAATGAGTGTAATTCACTGATGCTTTTCAATGGAATCTAAAATGTGCTTAATGACATTAAAGGATAGGAATAAAGGTTTCAGGACTTAGTGCCTTTTTGGGAGAGCAACCACATTTGATCTCGGCTCCAGTGCTTTTTCTAAATGCGAGTTAACCTACTACCTATGAATTCGGGAGTTAAGGCCGAGGCACCTAACGTTCAGCGCCTCAGCCATATGCTGACGCATTCTGCACCAGTCCGCTGACACTGGAGGTGAGCGGGAACTTAGCTAACCATAGAACGGCTTGAAACCATGAGTGACGTCACGTCAGTTGAAACAGCAGTGATGTCATCTACAGTGTGGCAATAGCGTGAAAATGTCACTAAAAGGGTGTAAGCGCTCTTTGGAAGATTTCGAATTTCAAATGGGGGGGGGGAGTAAGAGCGCCCTGTCAGAACATATAACCATCGGATCCACTTTTGTTTCACCAACGTATAATAAATAAAAGAAGTTGACATCAGTTAGTGGAGAGAGGTGGCGTGCGCCATGTATTCGACAACAACTTGGGATTGCGTCACTTTGAATACGTATTTGGCATTTGGGCATACGGGGCCAGTTGTTGCACAACACACTCTCGCTCTTATAGACGAACTTCAGTGCCAATGCCGTCACGAGTAAAATGGCAGCGAGGCAATCGTGGCGACTTAACCCTGCATGTGATCCGGACCATGCTCTAGAGCGAGAGCGGTGCTGATAGCCTCGCTACCTATACATTAAACGCTTCTGTCCTGAGAAGCTCTCGAAACCCCTTGATTTAGCTTCACGACTGGGTCAGGGTAGCTTCCAACGATAAGCTAAGATCGCTCGGCTTTTTCTCACTGAAGAGCATAAGTTACTCGTTCGTGGGAGAATGAATTGTTCTTGAGAATGAGTGATTCGGCAACCAACGATTAGAGAACTATCGAAAGGATCTGGTTGTTTATGGAACAGCACATTTCTCAGGAAAAGAAAATAGAGAAGATGAAAAACGACCACAACTAAAAAGAGGAACAAAGATATTCTGATAGAGGACCGGCAATCTCAGAGAGAAATGGTACTTAAATTTATGGCTGGTGTTATTCCAGTTCTCCGTGTATAGGCGAACTCATAGAATCAAAGACAAAACGTCAGCCTTTCCAGATTTTGATGTGTTTTTCCCTTTCACAGTAGACTACTCAGAGGGATGGAGCACCAGCTTCACATGAGCTGACAGCAGTCACAGTCAGGCACAGGGAAACACGTCATTCATTAGATTTTCACTTAGATTATAGCGAAAGTTGAAGTGTAAGCGAAAGGGTTTGAGGCACGAGTTCTTCTGAAGGTCAAGGATTTTGTGAAGGGAAAAATGCTAACTTGCTTGCCCCGATTGTATGGATAAGCAATTACTCGAGTGGGAGAAGTTGAGTGGGGTTTCGTATTCCTGAATATCTGCTTTGAAGCAGTGGTGTAAGTAGCGGACTACAAAGAAGATATAGATGAAGGCCCCGATATTATGTGGGGAGCTGTTGAGTCACGCTTCCTCTGCTGCCGCTACTTGAGGTCGCTTTTGAGAATGAAAATAATAGAGCTTTTACTTCGTAACCAAACTGCTGCAGTCTCTGAACCAAAGAGAAGGGTGGGGATGGGAGCGTAATGGAGGGTGGATGAGGGTGAGAAGGTAGCAAATGTTTGTCCGGCGTTCGAGTACTTCTGGCAGAACGTTGAAGCAATAATTTTATTATTATCAATACTTTATTCTTATTTTATTCTTCTGGTCACATTCCAAACGAGATTCTCCTTTGAGATTTCCAACAGTTGTGAACACTGTAATAGTAAAATCGGAGGAACAAAAATCTTGAGGAACCTAGTTTGGCGGGTCGAAACTGAACTGTTAGGGAATAGGGAAAACCTAACATCCGAAAGTTCAGTTTCCGATTCCATGCTTGGTTCTCATCCAGGAGTGACGTTTTCCCTAGCGTCATCCGCCACTGAAGTTATCACCGAGTTTATGGTTATTTACCCAAGGCAGAGGTCCCCTGCAGGTGGTCAAGAGCTAGCTCTTTCGTCGATTTTTTTATTTTTTTAGCAAAATTCCTACTGGAGAGTTCCCTATCTATCCTGTCGATTGCCTGTTCCTTCAGTTCAGAATTAGGTAAGATCGTAGTTTTTATTTGATTGCACATAACTTAAGTGTTGTAGAAGCGCACCTAGCGTGCATAAGTAAATAAAACAATATTAAATAAAAAATCGCTTTACTCACCATACGTAACCCAACAACATTGAGTGGCTTGATTTGATGTTTTTTCATCCTGAAAGTAGCGACATCAAGAGGAAGAAAAGTAAGCAGAATAAAAACGACCGCCCTCTCTTAGTACCAAGTACTTTGTTGTATTTTTTTTCAATTTAGATTCAGTCATCCCACTTTAAACGTGAATCTTTCAGGGTTTGTGCGTTTAAGTAAAGAATGCAATGGACAAAGAAGAGTTTTCCATGGGTAGGAGTTTTGTGCGGACCTCAACTAAGATCTCAAAATCCTCGAGCCTGGATCGTATTTATAAAGCTCTTACGAAGTAGTCTTGGAGTAGTACTTATTAAGTAGTCGACAAGCGCCACCCTTCTTGGCTCCCATGTGTACGAAAGACCAGGCGATTCCGCGGCGTACTCCTCCCCACGAAGGCAGAGCATGATTCTCTAGACCACCTCTAAATGTATATGCTCTTGTCGGTCAGAGCACGGGGAGGGGGGAGTCAACAAGTGGTCGTAGAGCCGATTGTGCAAAAGGTCCTGATTCAACCAGGATCGACCTTCTCTAATCTTGGGCATTGATGTCTTCAAGCAAGAGAATAGATTGAGCCGTCCAAGATTTTTATAATTTATTGGCCAACGTTTCGGCTTCCTCGCCTTCGTCAGGGCCTGAAAGAGTCCAAAACAATTGAGATTGTCCCCTCAAACGCCTCACAAAAACTTAAGACTATTTCGAGATCCTAGTAAACCACCTAACGGTATCGATCGATAAGGTGAGTAGGCTTACCTTGATCTCAGCCGCGATGACGTGAGATCGACCACCCAAGCTGCAGTACTACTAACAGTGAGCTTCCACCTCCACTCCGCGACCTCGGCCTCGACCTCATGTAGGTCAAAAACCGCATAGGTCGGCAAAGGGCGCGAGTTCACGGGTTATGGCTACACACTCCTCTTTCCTTCTTTCGCTGAAATTCAAGGCCCTGATTCGAATTATAGGGTGGTCCGCTCAAAATGGCGGGCGGTTTTCTCCTCTTCAATTTACGAAAAAAGAATATTCTGAAAGATAACGGCCAAAAAGCTCTCAGTTCACTCTCATGAAGTCAGGCTACTTCAAATAAGGTAGATAATTCACGCCGGTTCATGCAATATCCCCTTTTATACGGCGATTTCTGAAATCCTTACAAGGGTTGGGGTAAAGTCACCGTAACTGACCCCACGTAAAACAGTAGTGGAAAAGGATTTTTATTTCGGAGTTATCACAGAGAGCGAAACTGACCACATCAAGTATTTGTTGGAAATCGAGTCCGAGTAGTACGAGCACTGGTTCACTATCGTTTTTCACTGGACGAGCGAGTTTGTTGTAGCCATCGGCCAATTTTGCATACAAACGACGTTCGTGATCTCCTGCCCAAACTTCTGGAAATACTGTGTGAGTACTACACATACTACTGTACAATTA